AACTTAAAATTTGGGGAAACTTTACATTTTTTTCCTATTTTTTTCCCCACTTAACTTTATTGCTATCACAGAGGGGGCTAAGAAACCCCTATATGTGATAGCAAAAGAATTGACAGGTCCTCTTTATGGAGACATCAGGGGTCTCCAAGACCCCTAATGTCACCTAGGACCCCCCTGAAGAAGCTGATGAAGCAGAGATCTGCTTCTCTCCAGCATCTGAAGCTGGAGAGTGACACGAGAATGCGGAAGTGATGTAATATACACCACTTCGCATTCTGACAGCGGAGAGGGGACCAGAGGGAGATCGTGAACCGACCTCCCTCTATAGTCCCCTGTAAGAGAGCCACTATGCTGGTCCCGGGCTTGCACCGGGCACAGCGGAGCCCGGGATCAGCGGGAGGGGGAGGAGTCGCGGAGGGGCGCACATACCGGGACCCCATACAAGCGATCCGCCAGCTCTACAGCCGGCGGATCGCTTGTATGTTAACAGGCATCGCTGCCGGTTTTTAAATTATGTGTCTTTCTCACTCGAGCGCACCGCGGGCCGTGCACGAGTGGGCGGGACTAAGAGGACGTGTATACATGCCCAGTTGCATCCAAGAAGGTCCCTGCTGGCCGTGTATACAAAACGGCCGCCCGGGAGTTAGTTAAAGAAGAATTCTGGGCAGGAATAATTTTAAGTGGGGCTACCCTGGCAATGGTTAAGTGCTCGTTTTCATCTTGGGTGTAAAATAAAAAAGATATACTCACCCATACCGTGGATCTGCCTGGCTGCTAGCCTCCTCTGCTCCGGCGATTGAATGTCTCTCGGCATCCAAACATCAAATACATTCCATAGGACGAGATGACTGACAGGTTCTTAAACCGCTGGAACGGAGGGGGGAGCTAAGCAGCAAAGACTGGTCTAGCAGCCAGACGGGTCCACAGTTCAGGTGTTTCTTTCTTATTTTACATCCTAGATGAAAATGAGTACTTAACGCTGGCGGTGCAGGGGTAGACCCACTGCAAGAGTTTAGATTATTTCTTTAGGGTATTCCCTTTCTGTCATAGCAAGAGCCAAGTACAACATACACTGTTAGACTATGGAGATCTAAGATAAGCATAACTGCTGAATGCGTTAAACTTGTCAATTGAAAAGGTAGGTTTGTTAAATTTTGTATGCACTATATTAATATATGTTTTAGAATGAGTTTATTGAGCAGAATTTAGATGGATAAATACATGTTATGCATGGTTCAGGTATGCAGTAGAATTAAACAGTTGCAGACATTTATCAATATCAACTATAAATAAAGAATGCAATGTTTTCATAGTTTTCAAATTGTACATAGAAACCAAAAGTACTAATCATAAAACATTCCTGCGCACTCATAAAAAACATCACTCTATGGAAATTTCTCAATAGGTTAGAATATTTCTGCCATACCTTTTTAGAAAGAAAAATATCTCTATTCCACTGGTCCCAAATCCTGGAAAAAGTACAGTTTTCAAGTAGAGACAGGATAGGCTCCTGGAGTTGTACATGAAAAGAGGTGACAAATGTGCTAGGGAGTAGGAGGTATTGGATAATTTTTTGAGACAAGGTTGGTGATGTTGCTTGGTGCAGAGCTGTAAATGCCTTTGTTGTTATTGTTTTTTGTGTGTTTATTCATTGCAGAAGCTAGTGGAGGGATTGTCACAGAGTGATGTTGGCCACAGAATGGTTGGTTTTTGGATCCAACATTTTTGGATAGATTAAAGGGAAGATAGCCTGTGTAAAGGTAGGACAATAAGAAGGAAGTTGCAATAGTGAGAGATAACAAGGCAGTGTGGTTTCATTTGTTAACCACTTCAGTACCTGCATGTTAAACCCTTTCATTACCAGGCCATTTTTCAGCCCTGTGCAAGTTTGGCTGAGAATTCCTCCATTACGCAACAATGTAACAAACTTTTTGCCGCAATAAACATGCTGGTACTGAGGGGGTTAAAACATGGGACTTGGTAAAAGTGCAGAAGGTAGAATGAATGTGGGAGTATTGAGATGAAAGGGTTAATGTATAAATGTGAAAGATAAGGGAATTGAAAGGGTTAATAAACAGGTCAGCGCATAGACATAATAGATCTGCAGGAGAGCAGAGGCTACATCGGCTGGTCCACTGGTGGTTTAGAAATAAATAAATTGTGGAAATACTACAGATGTGAAGGCAGCAACATTCCAACAGTGATTGGATGAGGGGCAGAAGGAGAGTTCAGAGTCCAGGATTACACCTAGAAACCTATGAGCTCAATTTTGGAAAGATCGAGTTTGATGAAGTCGTTTAAACTATTTGTGAAGTTTCACCATTCACTTCTCAGCAAAGATAGAGAATTCAGTGACTTTTTGAGAGTGAAACTATTCTTTTAAACACAGATAATATGCTAGTATGGCCAAAAATACCTATTTCTTAGCACGTCTCATTGTTGCAACTATTTATTGTAGGCGTCTGACAGCAACATTAAAGCTTTTGTTTTGTCTTTGAAGTACTTGCTAAGAAAGGTTGCTTGTTAAGGATTTGAGCTCTCCCAGTATTTTTGATGTCCTGCATTATGTGTGGTAGCATGTTCTTGAATTATTTTGATTTAACACATTCATGTAACATCAACGTATTATTTTCCCTATGGATAGATGAATTAGAAACCCGTATATTGTTGTTTTCTCATATGTATCTTAGAAACAGGGGCTTCATCTGACCTTTGTCACATCTTTCTTTAATAAATTGGATTTCTTTCAACTGCCACATTGCTGTTTTGTGTCATATTGTATCATTTACTAAGCTTTCACATTCCAATTCTAAAAAAAGACTGATTATATATAGTTTACATAAACATGTAATGTGCAGTTGTTATATGAATAGAATATCAGTTTAATTCCAAACTCCAGCCAAAACTGTAGGCTGGTTGGAGCCTCCGTCAAGTTTTTTTTCCGTCTGTGTCTTTAGAAAAATGTTCTGCACAGCCCCAAAATGCTATTTGTATTATGTTGGACAAGTAAAGTTTTATACTACTTGCTACAGATCTCCTGCCTGATATATTCTATTCTATTTGTGTTGCCCCCACTGCCGTGCACCCATGCTTGCTTTATCACCTATGCGATACTGCAGCAGTGTGTTTTTATATGAATCTGAAACCATATGCAACAAAGAACTCAGTTTTAATAAAATGTTAAGGCAGTTTAATTAATTGTTTTGTGACAAGATGGACTGGGGACTGTTTGTATTGTACTGTATACCTCTTGAATAGAGACACACAACAAAAGCATTATTAGCAAGGTAAGAAGGAAACAACTTTTGACAATGTGTATTACTGCTCTCTGTGCCCTCCTATCCCACTGACAACCGTTCCCTGCATTTCTTATGGGTTGAAAACTCCTTTTCTGTACTGAACATGTCCATATATTTTAGATGGCATATGGTGGCTAGGGCAACATTTTGGGCTCGTATAAAAAACATTGTACGACAATCCATTTAAAATAGGATTTCCTGGGAAAATGAAAGTCTACTGTACTGGGGCTACTGCATGAAGGGGGGCTGCACCACCCACAACTGCCTTTCCCTTCCCGCTGCTGCTCATACAGTATTACTAGGCACATAGGCTTTTCTGGTCACAAAACAAAACCACATTTCACCAGGAAAGGATCCTTTAGAGATTGAGTGTCCTTTGTGTTTACATCCAATTACTCCTGACTCTTTCCAGGTTCAGAAAAGCAAATAGAATAGAGTTCTGTTTTGGCAGACCTGTTTGTGACGGATCGTGGGTAATCTGATGTAAACACATGTCCATTTACATCCGACTCCCCATAAACCAACATAGGTCTGGCAATTTCAGTTTTTCTTCCCCTGCAAGATGGAGGAAAATAACTGGACGGACAGGTATCTCAAAATGGTGGCATTAATGATAAACACCTGTGTGAATGAATAAATGGCTAATATGTTGTGCTAGGTTGTCATACTAGACTGAAAATCAACATGAATACACCTCCATTAACTATGATAAGTGGATCAATTATTACATATATGTGATATATAAACTTTATAAAATAAGTGAATCATTACATGAATGTGCAATTAAATGAATTATTCCATAAATGGACCTGTGTGTGGTCTTTGATTAATTCTCAGTGAACAAGCACTACTGCATAAGTGACCATGTCATCTCTGACTACAATCTATATGTGAAATTGCAGACACCTCTTTATGGTTGGTGTGAATATATAATAGCGATAACCACCCACCGGTATTTTGAAAGAGGAAAAAACGGAAAAGACAGAGGCCTCCTAAGTGCAGTATTTCAAAACATTTAATTGGTAATAGCAGGTTCTTTATGCACTTACAAGAAACACAATTTTACAAGCGTTTGAGCGGTAGGAGCACTCAGCCGTACAAGCCGTATAGTCTATGTGAGACGGAGCCGTTATCTCCCTTGACGCGTTTCATCAATGGACTTCATCGAAAGGGTATTTTACTCTCGTCTCACACCAGAATTTATAATACAGGAACAATTAATCTATCCTCCTCAAACCCTATTCAGGTTTCCCACTTGATTTATTGCTGGGTGATACCCGATCTGAGGTGGGATAGGATGATCGGAGTAAGGATCAGCTTATAAAAAAATTCTCCTAGCACAACTACTTGTCGTTTATACCTGTGTGAATGAAACCTTAATCAATTTTGCTAACAACAAGTTAGAGCAAATTTATTGTTGTAATTCTAGCACACAGTTGTTGGCTCTGTTTTGCTTGACAACTTGCAGATCTAGTTTGTAGAGAAATGGCAGTAAATGACAGTAAGCCACCTTGGAAATAGCATAATAGTATAATCTTTAACATCTTTTTAATGATAGCATTCATATAAATGTGTATTATGACGGTAAACATGAGCAAATATTTCCAGCCTTAGTTCTGATGGGAGGGATACGTTGTGTAGGCTGAAGTATATGTTGTAAGTCTAGAAATATAGGAGGTGACTCTATAATATGTAAGGTGTGTCTATTGTTTCCTAAACACTGACATTGGTGTATCTTGCTAGAATCAGTTGTTACAGAAAGTCAAGTGCTAGAAAACAAAATGAGGCCATATTATTTGCTTTTCACAACTACTTTTCTTCTTCTTTGGGTGGAAGTGAAATGTGAGACTACAAAAAGCAAAATAAGTAAGTAATCTGACAAACTACTATTTCTAGCTCTGCAGTAATAAAATTGTGGTTTTGTTTATGACATAGATATATGAAGCAGCCTAATGTGATATTTATGAAATCATAAATAGATATAAAAATAACTGCCTGTTCTGTTAACTGATTTAAAATCATAGTTACATAGTTACATAGTTACATAGTATTTGAGGTTAGTTTGTTTTAAAAGGTTAGTTCACACAAACATATATTTCAGTTTCTGGTAGAAATATTAGGCAGTGCCAAGATTTTACTGCTATAGTTTCTCCTCTTACCTTCTTCATAATGTAAAATAAATGAAGTGTCTAAAAGGTAGAGTGCAATTCCATCATAAGTGGTGGGATGTTGGGCAGACCTGAAAATACAAGGGCAGAGACCTTAATGGAGTCAGCCATCTGTCATGCTCTACACAAATATATGTATTAAACCAAATATATGCTAACTAACCTTTCAAGAGAACAGAATAGGCAGATAGCTTTGAAGCAAACCTGTGCTTTGCCCATGCAGGGGAAAGCCAAAGGCTTGTTTTACTGCAGACCTTTTAAATGCAAAATAATTACCTTCCTATTGCTCCCTCACTGCTTGTACCTACCTCTAATAGTAAAAAGAAAGTCCTTTGTAAGCTATGAGTCCCTGCAGTTATTACTTAAACAGAGTTATGAACTTTATGTGACAGCACATACATATAGAGTAAGTCTCCTGCTGCTTTGCACCTGGAAATAAAAAGTATTTTCTTGGGCTCTTGGAGCTGAACAGAGTGGGGGTAAAGGGAAGGAAAGGTAAGCATTCTGCTGGGGTTAGAGGGATTAAGCAAGGATAGTTTAACCTCCTTCATGCTAACCCAGAATTTTGAGCCCAAGCAACGCTCTATGTAAAAATTGATAATTCCAAACATTACATAGAGTAACCATTTTTACATAGTACCCGAGGCCTGATTTCTGTTGGCTGATCCTCCCACTTAGTTTTGAACCCAGAAGTGCTTTGCTCTGAGCACTTCCAGGTTTGCAGTTTTCAGGTTCTGGCCAGTATTGGCCAGGAATGTAAGTACTAACTTTAGTGTCTGTTTGTTGGCAAGTGGGCAGAGGAGGTATCAGTGGTCTAATAGACCTGATGTCTTCATAAAGAGGACCTGTCACATAAAAAATACTACCACATAATAGCACATATTTATGGTTAACTCTAAACTAAAGTTGTAAAAGTTTGGACATTTTTTGCCATGTTGCGCGTGCACCAAATTTAATGCTTGACATATCTATGATTTGAGGTTTTACTTTAGGCCTAAACTGTACATTTAATGCTCAATGTATTATCTGTACTTGTGAAATAATGTGTGATAGGTAAATGTAGCTTGTGAAATAATGTGTGTTAAGTAAAGATTTTTTTATTATTTTTTTTTGCATAGAAAAATCAACATTTCATGTTGACTAGTGATGATGTGGGTATAGGGGCATTGTACTGTATGCTATGTAAAATTACTTTACACCATACTGTCTGTTTTTTATTCATTCCATAGGGAATCTGCCTCAAAAATGAGCTCTTAGAAATGCAGTAGTCAATAATTTAATTACAAACGTGTTATGGCAAAGTCTGTCACAGTCCAAGCATATGCTTCTTGAGTAATTGGTTCCTAGAATAGGGTGTGCCAGTGTCCTTAAATCCATGTAGCTCTCAGCTGTGGGCTTAACATTTTAAAACAGGTCACCAAGACCTTACAGTGGAGTACTACAACATTCAGTAAAAGTTATTCGGACTAAAAGTACATTTTCAGGACCCTGTTGGCTCTGTTGTACTGTTAGTCCAAATACAGATAGTCTCACTGAACATTGCAGAACTTGATATTATGTTTTATAAGACAGGACTAACATTTCTATAACCTATTTTCTGGTCACTTTAATTACTTAGAAACAGCAGCATGAGACTTCTAAGAATTTCTAGCTTTATTGTGACTTTTCTTACAGCACTGTGGTCTATTCTCACATGTAACAAGATTAGTTTTAAATGTTTGCTGCAAACCAATAAACACATGAGATAACACAATAATACTGTAAATAATAGGAAGTGAAGACATGGCTTTATAAAATATGAAATTGTACTATGTTCTTATTCCAGTCTTGCCTCTGCTAGAAGAAATGTGATATAATATCCCGTACAAGCAAGTGCTGATATATAACAAGTGTTAGCATTTTTAGAATTGAAGTTTGGTTTCACTCTTTATTTTTATCTGCAGCCAAACAAGGCTTATGTCCAAAGCCAAATGCATCAAAGAATTGTACATGTCCCTCTGATAACAAATGTTCCAATGACAGTGACTGCTCAGGACAATTAAGATGCTGTGATACAGGATGTGGACTCCAATGTGTCTATGGAGGTACAGTCTGTCGCTTACTGCTTCTCCCTGTGTTAGCAATTTTTTGTGTCTCACTTTAGAGCAATGTTTTGTGTACGCTTGTAACCGGAAATACAAGAAGGTTCACTATGCTAATTAATAGTAACAAGAATAGTTGTATTTCTACAAGAACTAACATGCTGCAAAGGGATAATAAGGAACTGAAAGGAGGGTTGTTTTTATTGTCTTTTTCTAATATGCACAGATGATGAAATGATGGCAACACGGTTTCATCATAGGCTTAAAATTGTAAGCTTGCTAAGAACTTGACATTTTAAATCAGGCATGAGGGTCATATTATGCTTTCAATCCTTCTTTACTAGCTCCAGCAGCACAGGCTTAACAAAGGTTAAACAAACTTAAAAGTGCACACAAACTTGATAGTACAACAAATGAACCAATCAGCATGAACCAGAATATATAATAGAGGATGGCTCCCACAAATTCTTCGTCTTTCAGGGTGCGATTTGGGAAATTAAGAAAACATCAGTTGAAACTTCATAACTTGAGCCACCAGAATTCCATAATGAAAGCTTTAAACTAAAACGCAGACACAGACACAGGGTGGGTTAAATGGGTGGGATAATATTCGCCTCCTGTTCTTCATAAAATCCATATTTTCTAACACCATCCTGGTTGGGAAAATCTTAAATTACTTGAGCTTGTTATGATTCTTTAAATCAATATATAAGAAAAAATTAAGGTGACAATTCAAAAAGTATGTTATTTTACTTGTGTGTGGGATCAAGTGGCCTGACAGACCAACTTATGTCTTATATCTCTTGGAGATTCCAGGGATTGGCCAGAACAGGAAATAATTGGAAATCTCCTCAGTGGGGATACACTGGGCTGGAGTTGGGGTTTAAAACATGTAAGTCAAAAGGTGATTCAACTCACCAGAATTCACCCAGAAATAACAGTTTTAGGGGCATGTATTCTTTTAATCCACAGTATGCACCGATAAAAATCAAGACAATAGCGTATATGTAAGAAACACCAAATCTAGTTCGTATTAATACTAGGGATGCACCAATACTGATACTAGTATCGGTATCTGTGCCGATGCCGAGTATTTGGGCGATGCCGAGTACTGGTACTCGCCCAAGTGCTTCGATGCCTGATACCTGAGCTTCCGGTATCAGGAAGCTAGGCAGCGAGTCATTACACGCAGCCTGACTTCCTGATTGACCGGGGAAGCCAGCTCCATGCTCCCTCACTTGGTGACGAGGGTGCATGGAGCAGGCTTCCCGGCCTATCAGGAAGCCGGGCAGCATGTAATGACTCGCCGCCTAGCTTCCTGATTGGTTGGGAAACTGGCCAATCAGGAAGCAAGACAGCGAGTCATTGCCCGCCACCAAGCTTTCTGATTGCCCAGAAAGCCAGCTTCATGCTCCCTTGTCACCTGGTGACAAGGGAGCTTGGAGCCGGCTTCCCAGGCCAATCAGGAAGCTGGGCGCCGTATAATGACTCATAGCCCGGCTTCCTGATTGGCCAGAAAGCCGGCTCCATGCTTTCTCATCACCTGGTGACGAGGGAGCATGGAGACTGCTTCCCTGCTTATCATTACACGCATCCTGGCTTCCTTAATGGGACTTCCAGTATCAGCATTTGGTATCGGCGAGTACCGAAAATTAAAATATTGGTACTCGATACCGAAAAAACGTTATCGGTGCATCTCTAACTAATACATCTCTACTAGATAGAATAGTCAGTACTGACTTAAAGATCCCTTTTAATAGCCTTACATTTTGTAGATTGTTTATTGGTAAATCAACTGTTTCTAGTAGGCATTAGAAGGCCACATGGAAAAATAATTTGATTTAGATAAAGATTTAGAGCATGCTGTTATTATCAGAACTATTGCCTTATATATATATA